GTAGTAGGTAGTAGGTAGTAGGTAGTAGTAGGTAGTAGGTAGTAGGTAGTAGATCGTAGATAGTAGGTAGTAGTAGGTAGTAGGTAGTAGTAGGTAGTAGGTAGTAGTAGGTAGTAGGTAGTAGTTAGTAGGTAGTAGTAGGTAGTAGGTAGTAGGTAGTAGGTAGTAGGTAGTAGTTAGTAGGTAGTAGGTAGTAGTAGGTAGTAGTAGGTAGTAGGTAGTAGTAGGTAGTAGGTAATAGTAGTCACAACAAGTTTAAACAATGTAACAATCACAAAGAAAAGGCCAGGGACACAGGATCAAATTAATAGGGGGTAGTAGTGCAGATTATTGATGGGGGACCGGCCCTTGTGAGGGGTACCCTTTGTGAGCTTGTCAAATGATTGTTTTTAATTGTTTTTTAATAAGGCAATTTATAGGCCCTGAGCCCTAGACATTTTTAAGGATTTCATCAAGCATGTAGTAGATGGTAGGTGGTGATGACGATGGTGGTGGTGGGGGTCATGGTAGTAGCAGTAGCAGTAGCAATAGTCGAGATGAGCAGCATGAGGTGAGAGTTGCTGAATGAGCAGCATGAGGTGAGACTTGCTGAATCAGCAGCATGAGAGTTGATGAGTTGGTTAATAAACCTCCACTAGTAAATCCCTCAATACAATATAGCCTTTTTTTTTGGGGATTGTGTAGGCTCGGATTAACTGGGGGGGGGTTCTGGTGCCCAACTAGACAATTGGGGGGGAAATCAACTACCAATAATACTTTTAATTTGGGCAATTTTCGGACACTTTGTGGGCTCGGATTAACTAGGGGAGGTTTATTAATCCTATGTTTGCATATTGTCCAAACGGGACAAAAGCCTCACTCACACTCACACGCTCCAGGAGTGACTTGCAACGACTCTGACCCGTTTCCGTTGACCAGCGCTTTTCTGGCCATCCGCTTTGTGAAGGATGTGTAAGAGATCAAAAAAATAGTACAGCCACGACAAAGTGTCTGACTTATACTACAAAGAGTTCATGAAATACTCCCTGCTAGACCAGGCTATACCCTACAACAAGCATGTTTTCAAGCTCAGCTGCTGGTCCACTCCAAGCGCCCTCCTCCAGGATGGCATCAACCATGTCCTCGAGGACGTTGCGGAGGATGGGTGGGTGTGCCATCACCGGTCCGAAACTGCTGGGACCTGGATCATTCCAACTGCTGGGTATCAAGGATGTGGGTTGATTCAAGGATGGTTCAACTCCTGTGCGATTTAGACATGTTTTTGGCCGAACTCATGGGATGTGGTCGTTCGTGCAACAATATTATCTGGCAAACCCCTTTTTGGGGGGCTAGTAAAAGCAACCCGACCCTTTGGGTGTGGAAGGTCTACCATTTGGATCGTTTTGCATCGCAGAAACATCGCATTCGAGGACGCAGATTGTTGCACCGTTTTGAAGGTCTAAACCAAGCTAAGTAGCAATAAGCTACTAGTAGCTGTTTATTTGCTTCTATATAATAGTAAGGCCAGGAGCTACTTGTAGCGCCCTTGCTCCGTTCGTAGCGATGCCCTTTGCTCTTAGTAGCTAAGCCATGCTTTAAAGATCCAATCCAAACCGTTTTTTTGTTTGTTGGCACCACGCGCCGGTGGCGTCGCCGGGTCTAAAGACGATATAGACCAGAAATGGTCCTTCGGCCGCTTCCATGGGATGTTTTCATCTGTATTCACCTGTTTTCAGCATGAACCAACTCCGCAATCCAGTATAAAACCGTTTCGTTTCCTTTAAGCTTAAGGGGACTAGAGCGAGGACAGGTTTTCAGCGCAGGTGTCCAGCTGATGTCTCTTGTACCCCTGCTGGTTGACTATCACAGGAGGTCCTTGATGGGAACTCGAAGCTTTTGGCTGGCCCTTTGGTCTTCCGTGGGAGTGGGGCAGTGGGGGAAGGAGTTTGGTCTCCAAAGAGCTGGATGCATGACAGGAAAGATACGCGATCTGCACATGTGAAGGCACCAACTCTTCTTGTTTGCTCCCCACCCCCCCTCCGCTGGATCCACCCTCACCGCGGGGTCCACGACGAGCTTCCGATCTAGTTGGGCCAGGTTCATCCCATTCGTTGAAACGTGGTGGGGCTGGTTCGGTGAAACTCAATTGCATTGTATGGCTGATTTGGATGCTATAAAACATTATAAAACCGTGTTGGCACCTCTAAATGATGTAGCACGCACTTTGCGCCCAATTCAAGAAATTGTTTGCGTTCTGCTGGTGCCAGTGCTGGTCGGCAGCTGGTCTGCTGGAGTTTTGCTGCTCAAACTAGCACGCTGCTGTTGCTGGTTTGCTGCTGTTGGTCTGCTGGTTTGCTGGCACAACTCGGTCCCTGCCCATTCCTCTCATTTGTTGCGGCGGTTTGAACCCAGAGACCCTCACAACCACCCTCCAAGTGCCGAAAACTCAGGCCTGCGAGCCCTCAGTGCGAGTTCCTTCCACCAGGCCACCGCTGAGTTGGAGCTGAGAGTTGGAGCTGAGTTGGCTGTTCCATCCACGTTTGGCCAAAAGGATGCGGATTAGGGTGCTGGTTTTCGTGTCTTTTCGTGTCGACATGTCGACATGTCATCCGTCGATGATGTCGATGGAGCGTTTGGAGTTCGGACAAGATGTCGTGGTTGCCCAGACCCTCATCCGCTGATCTCGAAAACCATCCGTTCCGTCCACATTTATAGAAATCTGGCATGTTCATGCGACGGAATCGACATTGGAGTTAGAGGCCTGTTGAGGAGACCCTCCTGTACACTGTAGACAAAGATTCATCAATTTGGGATGGGTCAAAACCTGGAGCCCCACCACCATGTAGCTTGCCTTTCATAGCGAAACGAAGGTGTCCTGATTTTGCTCCACAGCCACTAAATTTGTCAGTTGATTTGCTCGAACTTGCTGAAAGAAGAGTATTCTCTTCATTTCGAGATGCTGGTCGACTTAGAAGAACTGCATCTGTGAGCATAGTGCTACACAGAACATGCATGTATAAATATGTACATATTAATCTAATGTACAATATACTATAATATAAGCCTAGCATCTAGAGAATGAAATCCCGTGGGGGTTGTTTCAGAAGGAAAGGCACCCACACCTTGAGCTGACAGACTAAAAACGACTAAAACCATCTCAAACAATCTTAAACATATAGTTATTTAAATAAATCATTGTTTGCAGGTGACCCCGTTTCCAGACACAGCAATCCATGTCAGAAATCCATGCAGCATGTCCTCCTCTCCTCGATATCTCTGTGGTGCAGCGTAGCGTCAGGGGATGCCTTACACGGTGCTCATGAGCCTGCTGACCAGCCGGTGGGAACCTGTGGAAGAGTGGAGTTTGGCCTTGGACGAGTGACCCTCCAGGAGCGACACCAAACAGGGAACCTCCTGTGGGATGGATCTAAACATGATCTAAACATTGTAAGATGTTTTGTACAAACAGGGATTTGTACAAGCAGTTCTTTTTTAAACCTGAAAAGGATTGCCTCCATTCTCCTTCTGTTTATGTTTGTATATGTAAGCACTCCCCCTTATTCTGAATTGCGGGTTTGGTGGCACGTTACCCCCCATGGATCGTGCTTGGTTGGAGGCCCTGGAGGGAGAGTCTCAGCTGCGAAGCGCAGCTGAGACTGGAACTTGGGAACCAAGTTCTGCCCTTCATGCTGCTTTGGGTTTCTGAATTTTGCAGGTGTCTCTAGACATTTAGACTTCTGGATAAATCTAGGACGTGACGGCTGTGGGGAAGCAGGTGTGAGTTGCATAGCAGAGCTTGTTTTGGGGGTTGTGCTTTGGTTTCCAACGATGTTGTTTTTCAACACTTCTGGGATTTGCAGCCACCATCCATCCCTTTTACTATGACCAGAAGGCCTCCGATGGTGAGATGGTCAGACTTGGATGGTCAGACGCATCACTCCCTGCGGTCTTTGCCGTTCAGACTTGCGCTCGACCACGGGCAGCGGCCACTCAACCTGAACTCGACGAAAGGGGTCAGAGTCCGCTTCGGCGCAGGCGATGTGGCGGGCGCAGGTGATTCTGTTCAAAGCACCTGCGCCCGCCCTTTGTGATATGTGTTCCAATGACACCTATAAAATCCTATAAATAGAATGGTTGGAAGCAAATGATACAAACTTCTGCCAACATTTTCCAAGACCATTGAACAAATGCAACGCATGTACAACATGGTGGCCCAGTTGCAAATACTGTAAGTCTTTTTCCATCACACCCAGCATGGCGAGGAAGTTCCTCCCACTCCACCTGCAGTATTAGGTCGAATCCCATGCGCTTCCTGATCGCTTTTGTGGTGTGCGCGATGGCGGGCCATCCCAGGGACCGTGGGTGGGGTGGATACAGAGACATCCAGAGACCAAGCGGCGAAGTACCTGACTGACTAGAGGACTTATCAGAAGTCCTGCACCTGGAAGCACCAAGGACATAGGACATGCCCGGGTGACGACCCCGGTTTTTGAGGGTGGAGAGGTGGAGCAGGTGGGTGCCTGCAAGTTCCATGTGAGCTGTTGGTGGATTCGATTGCTTTGTCACAAGAAAGTCATCGTTCAAGTCGCCTTCCCAAACAAAGGAGACTACGTGGACAGGCCCACCACTCACTGACTCACTTCCATCACCATGTTTTTTCGTACCGGCGAACGGGGCACAAACTTGGAGTCCAAACCACTTCCCGGATGGACGCTGGCACACCGGCTGAATTCACCCACCGCGCGGCCGCTCCACCCGAGTGAGACCGACGAGGTGTGGTCCGCAGCAGACACCCGCTCCTTTCAGCCTTCGGCGCTTGAGGTCCTTTCCGTGGCCATCGCTCTCTACTGCCGCTGGGAGCTGGGAGCCGAGTCGTTGGACGTAGAAGCAAGCCCGATCATTGGGTGGGCTCCAAGTGAAAGGTTGGAAAACATGGATCGAAGCTGCATCAAGCTGCCCGAAAAAGCGGTGGCTTTTCTGGCCATTTCAAGCAAAAGGGTGCTGGTTTAAGGACCTCTCCGCAACAAAGAACACTGAGTGAAGGGCGGCACATCTTTGGACCAAACACCCAGTTTCCACGGATTTTCAGGATTATGTGTTGGACATCCGGCGAATCCCCCAGGCGGTCGTCGCCCTCTTCCAGCGCGGAGGCACGCACGTCGCCTCACGCGGTTTGGGGGTTGTCTCGGAGCCGAAAGAGGTGAGCGTGGTGAAGGGAGTCCCTTCAAGGTATAGGAGTGTCTTAATCTCATGACCTGCGGCCTAGTTGTACTCCAAAAGAACTTGTATTGCCCCAAATTGCAGTTCCAAGCTTCACTTTCGGGGGGGTATGCAGACCCATTTGGATGTCAATACTTACCTAGACTTTGCGTGAGCCTTTGACCTTTTCCGGATCAACTAGGGGTCAGGCTTTCACCAGCTGTCGAAGAACTCTGTCACGCACTCCCTCAAGAACTCTTCCTTCCCTACGGCTGACTGGCCATTGGCCTGTCAGGTGTAGGATTTCTGCCTTCAGTAGGGCGTTGGGGATGGCCGGGGCCGATCCGTGGCGAACAACGGTCGCCACCGGTGAGATGGAAGCTCCAGCTCCAGGGAAACCGCAGTGGCGATGGGATGAGAAGGACATGGGTCTTTGGGGGTCCATAAACCATCCAAACTGGGTGACAGAAAACGAGTAGTTTTCCCCAGAAACTACCAGCTACAGGCTGCAGGAGGTCTCTGACTTGGTTCAAGACTCAGCGGAACGCGGTGTAAAAACAAAGATTTTCCGGTTCATCACATTCCATCAGCGTGTGTTAAGTCTGGTAAGTCCAATGTGAGAACGTCGTTGCAGGTGCACTGATCCGGCTCGGTCTTTGAGCCGGGTGCACAAGAGGAAAGGTATCATGCATGGCAGGATCACTCCGTTCCGCGCTCCGAGCTGTCTGGCTTCAAGAAAGTACCAATTTGTTTAAGGGGTCACGTGGGAGGTTTCCCGCGTTTTTCACGCTCCTTTTCAACCCATGTCGCCTGGAGCTGGACTCCTTGCCCTGGCCACGCCACGGAAGCCCGAAGATGTGTGTGAGGATGAAGCGACGATGCACGACTCGGCTCCTGGTTCTGGACTCCAAACCGCCAAGCCATGCAAGCCCGAAGATGTGGAAAACCATGATGAGCCCTTGGAGCCCATGGAGCCGGAACCCAAGACGCCTCGAAGTTCCTTCTACACCTTCTTCTCCGAGCTGCCAAAGGGTGTGCCAATTCCACCCAACTTCAGGACCCATTCGCGCCATGTCATCAAGTTCCGTCAGTCCTTGGAGGATCTCGATGAGCAGGAGGTGATGAAGGTCGTGAGACACGCGCGCCGATGGTGGGCGTGAGACAGGGCGATCGAATGATGCTGCAGAAGAAGGGTTGAATGTTTGGTAATGTACGTTTGGTGACTTTAAGGAAAGTCACTAGATCCGCGGATGTGATTTCAATTTAATGCTTTGTTTCAAGTAGAGTATTTTGGTAGAACACCATGGTACGTGCTTGAAATGCCTTTACCACCTATGGCACTCAGTTGGAATGCCTTTTTAACGTCAGGTGTACGCACTTTGGCGCCGCTTTCTAGTGCAGCTAGTTTGGAAAGATTTACATCCAACAGGTTAGTCTTGTTGAAAGGGGCGCCCAGGCTCACTTCTTTTCTACGCAGTTTGGTGTAGGAAACGTACTCTCCAAAGCCACGTGGGGCGTGACAAAGCCCGGTTTGGGAGACCGATGGGACCGATGGGATGGACGAGGCTCCAGGATTTAAGATCCTCCCTGCTTCGAATTCGTCGGCGAACTCATTTGGAGCTGATGAGATGCAGCTTCAGAGAGACAAGGGGCTTCAAGCTCATCCAATGAATGATGCTGGGAAGCCGGTTTGGCCGCTTTGGCCTGGGTATGGTCAGTATCGCCAGGAATGGACGCGCGAGATCATACAAAATGACATCAAATGACTCGACTGTATTGTATACTACGGTGATCTACGGTGTATTTCTTTCACAATATAATGGAGATCTGGTAAGACTTCCATTCTGTTTTTGGCCACTGAGTTTCTGAATCTTTCTGAAGAGACCGGGGCGCTGGCCGGAGTTGGCCACTTCTTGTTGAAGCTAAGGGAGTCCAGCCGATTTCAGAACATCTTATGATATGGCAGTTGTTTATGTTTATTATATACAATTACAATTACAATCAGTTTTAAGAGTCGACAGTATATATATATATATATTATATACCAATCTGGACCGAGTCGGCCCTAAGCTGATCATAACGAGAAGACCGATCAGTCGTGGTGACCGATCTCTTGCGGAGTGAGCGAACTGAGAAGCTGAGGGTGTCAGGAAGGCTTCAGGTCCTTTTTCCATTCTATATAGCTCAAAAGGTAGCAATGGAAGCCCTTGAACTGTCCGCAGGTGCAGGTTGGACTTCCACCACGACGTGTGAAAGTCCATGTGTTCCTGCACTTGGTTCACTCCAGGTCAGCACCAGCCTCTCTGAGGACCCTTCGTAAAGCACCTAGGGGTGTGGGGTCCCTGACAGAGCAAGAACCCGTTTGCGGAAGAAAAGGCGTGGCCGCATGCAGTGTTATTCTTAGTTGGGGGATCGGAGAACACCACTCTCCAAGAGGATAGGGGTGCCTCTGTCACATCCACTCACTTAGTGACTCAAAAACACCTCCTTGTGACCGTTTTTTTCAAAACTTTGCATCTCCCGCTGTGACGCTTTGCAGCACACCCCGCGGACCCATACGGACCCCCAGCGGCCAGGCGAGTTCCTCGCCCCCCCTGCGGCGAGCGGTGCACTCCGCCCCAGGCCGAGGGAAGGTTTTTCAGTGCGATCGCCTGTCGGGATCTCAAGAGAAGTGCACCTTTCGGGCACCTTTCGTGGACGACCCCCTCGGAGATTCAGTGAGTGGACGATGGAAACCTGTACACCCCAGACATCCCTGGACCAAACTATAGTAGTTAGTTCACCCCTCCATTCAGCACCCTGGGTGTGGAAAGCGCTGCATTGATTTTGTTTTTGACCTTCCAAAAGATCATCTAAAATCTCCAAACGAAGCCACAGGTCGATGCCCTCGACCTATCCCGCACCTTCTCCGCACCAAACACCCGCCGCGGGGGGTCGGCCACAGGCCGCCCAGGCCGCCGGTGGGGTCGTGGCGCACCAGGCCCGCCGCCCTCGTTGCTGACCTCCCCCTGCGGAAGTCCGTCCTCCAGGAGCTTCGGGGCCGAGCGGCCGAGCGGTGGAACCGCGAGAAGGAACCGGACAGCATCGGAAAGAGCTCTTATTCAGTTTTGTTTGATGTTTTATGTACTTCCATGTCTATATGTTCATAACATTTCATATATTTATATATATATTTATAACCAAAAAGGAGTTTTGGCTTACTTTTTGAAAACTATAAAGTTACAAAGGAGTTGTTGGAGGACCCAGTGTCAAGAGTCGCTAAAGGTTTCACGATTCGATTTAGCAAGACGGCCAAACATGTATTTCCATTGGACAACTACCGAACATCAATTTAGAAACAGCTAAGGCTAAGACTCAAGAGTTCGAACTATCAATGGGAAAGAATGGGGGGAGAATCGGACACAACAAACATCAATCAATCAGTCACATCGAAACCATTCAGCTCATCAGTTCCTTTTGGCCCTCACATGTGAAGATAGCATACGAACATGCTTTCGTGTTTCGTCCGTATGCCACACGTTGTCCTTGTGTTCCTTCGGCCACCGGGGCACCGGGGCACCGGTCGGGGGATCAACATGCCGCCTTTGGGCCATTCAGAAGTTGGTTTGGGCCACGAAAAAAACGGATTTCAACATGGATTCCATGGATTTCAATATTGGAAGAGACATCTATTTGTCACATGCCGCATGCCCAACATATGTGCTTCATCTTGGATCATTGGAAGGTAGTTATACATGTCATATTCATCGTCCTTCGATG